AATAATAATAATAATAATAATAATAATAATAATAATAATAATAATAATAATAATAATAATAATAATAATAATAATAATAATAATAATAATAATAATAATAATAATAATAATAATAATAATAATAATAATAATAATAATAATAATAATAATAATAATAATAATAATAATAATAATAATAATAATAATAATAATAATAATAATAATAATAATAATAATAATAATAATAATAATAATAATAATAATAATAATAATAATAATAATAATAATAATAATAATAATAATAATAATAATAATAATAATAATAATAATAATAATAATAATAATAATAATAATAATAATAATAATAATAATAATAATAATAATAATAATAATAATAATAATAATAATAATAATAATAATAATAATAATAATAATAATAATAATAATAATAATAATAATAATAATAATAATAATAATAATAATAATAATAATAATAATAATAATAATAATAATAATAATAATAATAATAATAATAATAATAATAATAATAATAATAATAATAATAATAATAATAATAATAATAATAATAATAATAATAATAATAATAATAATAATAATAATAATAATAATAATAATAATAATAATAATAATAATAATAATAATAATAATAATAATAATAATAATAATAATAATAATAATAATAATAATAATAATAATAATAATAATAATAATAATAATAATAATAATAATAATAATAATAATAATAATAATAATAATAATAATAATAATAATAATAATAATAATAATAATAATAATAATAATAATAATAATAATAATAATAATAATAATAATAATAATAATAATAATAATAATAATAATAATAATAATAATAATAATAATAATAATAATAATAATAATAATAATAATAATAATAATAATAATAATAATAATAATAATAATAATAATAATAATAATAATAATAATAATAATAATAATAATAATAATAATAATAATAATAATAATAATAATAATAATAATAATAATAATAATAATAATAATAATAATAATAATAATAATAATAATAATAATAATAATAATAATAATAATAATAATAATAATAATAATAATAATAATAATAATAATAATAATAATAATAATAATAATAATAATAATAATAATAATAATAATAATAATAATAATAATAATAATAATAATAATAATAATAATAATAATAATAATAATAATAATAATAATAATAATAATAATAATAATAATAATAATAATAATAATAATAATAATAATAATAATAATAATAATAATAATAATAATAATAATAATAATAATAATAATAATAATAATAATAATAATAATAATAATAATAATAATAATAATAATAATAATAATAATAATAATAATAATAATAATAATAATAATAATAATAATAATAATAATAATAATAATAATAATAATAATAATAATAATAATAATAATAATAATAATAATAATAATAATAATAATAATAATAATAATAATAATAATAATAATAATAATAATAATAATAATAATAATAATAATAATAATAATAATAATAATAATAATAATAATAATAATAATAATAATAATAATAATAATAATAATAATAATAATAATAATAATAATAATAATAATAATAATAATAATAATAATAATAATAATAATAATAATAATAATAATAATAATAATAATAATAATAATAATAATAATAATAATAATAATAATAATAATAATAATAATAATAATAATAATAATAATAATAATAATAATAATAATAATAATAATAATAATAATAATAATAATAATAATAATAATAATAATAATAATAATAATAATAATAATAATAATAATAATAATAATAATAATAATAATAATAATAATAATAATAATAATAATAATAATAATAATAATAATAATAATAATAATAATAATAATAATAATAATAATAATAATAATAATAATAATAATAATAATAATAATAATAATAATAATAATAATAATAATAATAATAATAATAATAATAATAATAATAATAATAATAATAATAATAATAATAATAATAATAATAATAATAATAATAATAATAATAATAATAATAATAATAATAATAATAATAATAATAATAATAATAATAATAATAATAATAATAATAATAATAATAATAATAATAATAATAATAATAATAATAATAATAATAATAATAATAATAATAATAATAATAATAATAATAATAATAATAATAATAATAATAATAATAATAATAATAATAATAATAATAATAATAATAATAATAATAATAATAATAATAATAATAATAATAATAATAATAATAATAATAATAATAATAATAATAATAATAATAATAATAATAATAATAATAATAATAATAATAATAATAATAATAATAATAATAATAATAATAATAATAATAATAATAATAATAATAATAATAATAATAATAATAATAATAATAATAATAATAATAATAATAATAATAATAATAATAATAATAATAATAATAATAATAATAATAATAATAATAATAATAATAATAATAATAATAATAATAATAATAATAATAATAATAATAATAATAATAATAATAATAATAATAATAATAATAATAATAATAATAATAATAATAATAATAATAATAATAATAATAATAATAATAATAATAATAATAATAGGATCAAAGACACCCAGAAAATTATCTCACACACACAGAGAACACAATATTTACGTGGTTCGGCCCAATGCCTACATCCACGGACAGAAATGAGAATTATCACTTTAATGGAGCAAAAATACAATTACAGATGAGGAGATGAAACTCACTCAACTCACAGCTCTCACTCTCCAATTTCTGATGATACAAACCTCTCCTCACTCATCTCAATTTATAACCAAGAGAGGAGGAGTAGGTGAAGTGCTAGCCATAATTGGCCAAGGTAGTGCCACCCTCACTATCTTCCTTTAGTGAGTTGGTGTAGCCCTCCACCACCTTCTTTTACAACATGGTGCTACTTACACTATGTGAATGGTGGGCTCATTACCATGTGGGTAGTGGATGGAGCCAACAATTCTCCCCCTCCACGCCCACATGGACAACTGACTTCTCAGCTTGGACTGCCAAAACACAGCTCCCCCTGATTGGATGCCCTGTACCCCCTGCTCGGGATACCCTTGCATTACCGTGCAACTCCTTGCATGATGAACACGGGAGCAACTAGAAAACTTCAGAGTGTGACACATCAACATCCTCAATTTTCCTTGCTCGGAGCTTATTTCTGACTTGTGGAAACATTAGCTAGAGATTCAACAAAGCCTTCAATTTTGGCTTTCGACTTGTTTGGAAATGAGAACATACATTACAATGAACAAAGTTTTGATTGTATAATAAGCTAATAGCATGACTTATACACCTCAGTAGGGCATAGAAACAGAGGAGAGAGAAATAGACTGGTTTTAAAGAGAGAAGACTGATGGGGTGAGATGATTAAGACATCATTTACTATTGCCAAAGACTTGGCAAAGAAACAGAGGAGAGAGAAATAGGCTGGTTTTAAAGAGAGAAGACTGGGTGGGGAGTGTTCTATGGGGTGAGATGATTAACACTTCGTTTACTATTGCCAAAGACTTGACTGACTAATGTTTTATTTTTTTGGTTTTTTTTTTTTTTAAACTAACTAATGTTTTATTTTGTTTGTAAAATTTGTTTTGTTGGTGGAAACATTTGTTCTCAGCATTTTCCGTCATTTATAAACACACTTGTTTTTATCTGGAAATCACAAGCTATAAACAATAATATTACCAGGGATTTTATAATATAAATGCCCCCTTTTTTAAGTATATCATAGGTAACTTATGGTATTTTGAAATCTTATTACTATTTTATCTCAGAATTATTTAAGAGCAAATATTTTTGTTATTTAAGATCGATTTTCACAACAGTATGGGTGATTGGAGTGAATGTAATCCATAGAATTAAGGCACGGTGGCTTAAATAGAAGAGTACATCTGGGGTAGGGGCGGAGGGACATTGGGCTCAGGGGGGCCACGTGCCCCCACTGACTTTTGAATTTTTTTATTTTATTTTATTTATTTATTTATTTATTTTAAGTGTGGTCTGCCTTTCACACATAGATTGTGCCCCTCCTCGTGATACACAATTTCAAACCCACTAAGCACTAACACACTGACATACACACACACCATACGCACGACGCACACGTTTGTATATTTTATTTTATTTTATTTATTTATTTATTTATTGTGGAATCCCAATCCCAATCCCAATTAAATACTGACACAACTTTTTTTTAGGTGAGTGCACACAACTCCAATTACAGCAAGGTTAAAACTCTAAAACTTTAAAAGTGTATGAAATTCTTTATTTTTTTTATTTATTCACAGTACTTGTGAAGTATCTTCATATTTTCTTTGTCTTCTTTGTCTCTCTTTGTTGCTTTGCAATTTATCGACTCGCGATTCACCAAATTAGGATCACACAATACAGATTTGGGATCATACTACAACATTGTTATCTTTTCTTCATTGTTTATAGGCAACTTTATTTTTTTTTTTACTTTTAAATAAAAATTATGAGTATTAATTTATAATTATTTGTTAAGTTTTGATTTGTAAAATTTTTTTATTTGTTATTATTTATGTTAAAATAAGAGATTTTGATATACTAAAATTATGAATCTTAATTGGTGGTGATTTATATTAAAATTAGGGATTTTGGTTTATTGTTGTTTGTGCTAAAATTAGGGATTTGATTTATGCTAAAATTAAAAATATTAATTTGTAGTGATTAATATTTAAATTAGGAATTTTGATTTGTTATAATTTGTGCTAAGATTAAAAATTTTGATGTGCTGTGATTTGTGCTAATTTAAATATTTTGATTTGTATTAAAATTGGAGATTTTGATTTGTGGGGGGTTTGAGATTTTGATTATGAATTTTTATTTTGATTTTTAGTTTTTCCAAACAGTCATGGAAAAATATTTCAAAAGAAAATCAAAGTTGGAATCATCTCTTTCTCAAGAAAAAGATGATAATTATTCTTCTGCAAAACAAAGTCGCATAGAAATCAACTTAGTAGACCTTCCTGCAGATCCAGGACTACGGCCTCGGATTATGGATTATAATGCTAATGATCGAGACCGAATTCGTAAGGCATATCTACAAAAAGGTCTTTGTCAACCTCGTGATCATAATTTTCCACAAAAATCATTTGGACAAAAACTTCGGCGATTTAATCAGGCTTGGTTTAGTGAATTTCCTAATTGGTTGGAGTATAGCGTACCAAAAGATGCAGCATTTTGTTTATGTTGTTATCTTTTCAAACCCGATATTGGAAATCAAGCTGGTGGTGATTCTGTTGTTGGTGAGGGTTTCTCAAATTGGAAGAAAAAAGAAAAAATTCATACTCATGTTGGAGGTCCTAATAGTGCTCATAATCAAGCTTTGAGTAAATGTCAAGACTTGTTAAACCAAAACCAACATATTGAAACGATTTTTTTCAAACAATCTGATCAAGCTCGAATTGAGTATCAAACCCGTTTGAATTCATCGGTTGATTGTGTTAAATTTTTTCTAAGACAAGGACTTGCATTTCGTGGGCATGATGAATTTGAAAATTCAAGTAACCAAGGAAATTTTCTTGAACTTCTCAAGTTTCTTGCTGATCATAATGAAGATATCAAAGTGGTTACATTGAGCAATGCTCCACAAATTCTCAAGTTGACATCTTCTGATATTTACAAAAAGACATTGTAAATGTGGCCGCATTTGAAACTATCAATGTGATTATTAGAGATCTTGGTGATGCACTTTTTTGTATTTTGATTGATGAAGCCCGTAACATATCAATCAAAGAGCAAATGGTAGTTGTAATACGATATGTTGACAAAAAAGGCCAAGTGATTGAGCGCTTTTTGGGTATTGAGCATGTTGCTAATACGAATGCTCTATCACTTAAACAAGCTATTGAAAATTTATTCTTCAGACTTGGATTGAGTATTTTCAGATTGCGGGGTCAAGGATATGATGGGGCTAGTAATATGCAAGGTGAGTTCAATGGTCTTAAAACACTTATACTGAAAGAGAATCCTTGTGCATATTATGTTCATTGTTTTGCTCATCAATTGCAATTGGCACTTGTAGCCGTGGCAAAGAATCATAATCAAATTGCTTTACTTTTCACTTTGGTTTCTAATGTGGTGAATGTTGTTGGAGCATCATGTAAATGCCGAGATATTATAAGGGAGAAGCAAGCTGCAAAAGTTGTTGAGGCACTTAATACTGGAGAGCTATTTAGTGGGCAAGACTTAAATCAAGGAACTAATCTTAAACATGCTGGTGATACACGTTGGGGTTCACACTATGGTACTTTAGTCAACTTGGCTAGTATGTTTTCAGCAGTGATAGATGTGCTTGAAATGATTTCGGAGGATGGTTCAAATTAAGAACAATGAGTAGAAGCAAATGTATTGTTGGACTCAATTGAATCATTTGAGTTTGTATTCAACCTTCATTTGATAAAAATTATATTAGCTATTACAAGTAAGTTATCGTAAGCACTACAAAGGAAAGATCAAGATATTGTTAATGCCATGAATTTAGTTCAAATTTCTAAAGTATGGCTGAAAGTGGGTGGACATCTTTACTTGATGATATTTTGTCTTTTTGTGAAAAGCATGAAATTGATGTTCCCCAAATGGAAGATATGTTTGTAGCTCGAGGGAGAAAAAGGCGCAATGCTCAAGAAATTACAAATCTACATCACTATCGCGCTGAGTTATTTTACATTGTTTTGGATATGCAAGTTCAAGAACTAAATGTTCGTTTCACTGAGTCGAACACTGATTTGTTACTTTGTGTGGCATGTTTGAATCCATCTAACTCTTTCTCTAGTTTTGATAGGAAAATGTTAATTCATCTTGCTGAATTTTATCCCAAAGAATTTTCTTCAATGGAGCTCATGGTACTTAATGATCAACTTGATACATATATTATTAACATGCTATCCGGTAGTGAGTTCTCAATGTTGAATGGAATTGCCGATCTTGCTAAGAAAATGGTAGAGACTAGAAGAGACAAAGTATATCCATTGGTGTATTTGCTCTTGACTTTAGCATTAATCTTACCTGTTGCAACTGCTACTGTTGAGAGGGTATTTTTAGCTATGAATATTGTGAAGAATTGGTTGAGGAACCGAATGGGTGATGAATGGATGAATGATAGCTTGGTTGTCAACATTAAGAGATATTTTTGATGGCATTGACAATAATACTATTATGGAAAGATTTCAAAAGATGAAAACTCGTCGGGGTCAATTGTAAAAGTTTAAAATTTAAAAATTTTTGTAATGGATATTAATTTTTAATGTTTAACATTAGCTCAAAAAATTATTGTTATGTTATTGTTATTGATTGGGTAAAAAAATTTTGAGATTTTAATTAATGGGTGCCCCCCTCTCCCATATTAAATTCCTGACTCCGCCACTGGTCTGGGGTACTATTTGATAAACAAGTACTCACTAGACTAAAAGAAAAGTTCTATAGAACGGGTATTAAACTAGCAATACTGTATATGATGGAATGTTAGGCAATTAAAAAACAACATGTAGATAAGATGAATATTGCTGAAATGAAGATAGTAAGGTGGATGTGTGGCAAGACTAAAAATGACAGAATTAGGAATGAGTATATTCCTAAATGGGCAGGAGTAACATCAATAGAAGATAAGTTGAGAGAGAATAGATTGAGATGGTTTGATCATATACAATGGAGGTTAACGGATGCAGTAATGAAGAGATGTGATACACTGATGGTAGATGGAAGTATTAGGGGAAAGGGCAGACTTAGATTGATATGGGTGAGTGTAGTAAATAGAGATATGAATCTCCTTAATTTGATTAACCAAATGGCCGTTGTTAGAGTCGAATGGAGAACAACGATTCATGTAGTTGACTCCATTTGATAAGACTTAAGACTTGGTTTGATTTGGTAACTAAATCTTTTTCGATCATGGTCAAAAACATTACAATGGATTATAACTAAACATCACGTGAAATATAATTACTGACTAATTTGATTGATTAACAATCAAAATATGTTGTAACTAATGTTATATTTATGTTTGGTAACAATTATAAATCAACTTATTTAGCTGAAGATTAAAAAAAGCTAATTAATGATGTTTGATCGTAATTTTAAATTATAATTTATTTGTCCTTTTCAGCTTTATAATTTATTAATAAATGAATCATTTGTTGTATGATTATGAACTTAAAAGTGCGTGATATAATTTTTAAAATCACATAATCTGTATTTTGAATAAATTTTTAAAAGAGTAATTATAATTTATCTCAAAATAATTAAAAAAAGGGGAACTTACTGATAAGTCCCATGTACCAAGTTCAAGATCCAGCTAATCCCAAAACAAAACACTTGCACCAATTAGTACAATACATTTTTAATTGTTACTAAAAAATCCTCTTTTTTTTTTTAATTTACAAACACTGTTCACATCTTACTACCATCGGACTTCCGTCAAACGGTTGCCGGAGACTCGTCGTAATGTTCAACATTGCCGGGAAGTCGCCGAAGTCAAATTAATCAAACTGAAAAACATGTTATGAAACTGTAAAATTTTACAGTTTTATACCATGATTCATTCCAGTACCAAAAAAATTTGAAACTGCAAAATTTTACAGTTTTTACCGCCTGTAACTAAAACTCGAAAACTACTTGTTCAGAATCTGTTATTCTCTCCTTCTTCCTCTGTTATTAGTTTTTTTTTTTTTTTATTTGTGTAAATTTGGTAGATTTGTGTATTTTGATTTTTTAATTTAGATTTAGGCTTTGATTTTGATTTTTTCGAAGAGCAGGGTTGCGATTTGGATGAAGACTTCTACAAAAGGATTGCATTATTTAGTGAATGACTTCATATATAATCTAGATCAAGTGAGATATTGCGCCAGTGGTAAGTAATTTCAGAAATTGAGAGAGCATGATTGGAAAGAACATGATTTGGTAACGGTGAATCTTGACTTGGAACTTGGATGCTGCCAGTTTTATTTTTGCTTTTGTTGTTACCCTCACGTTTGGGTAAAGCTAGACTGCTCTGCTGCTGCTGCTGAAAACAGAGGCAGAGGGGAAGGAAGAAAAACGAGAGAAGAAAACGTAAAGAGGGAAGCACAAAGCAGAAAGATAGAGGAAAAGGACTTTTGGGTGTACTCAAAAAGTTATGGGATTAAATGGTGTTCACATGTTCCACATGAGACCTATGGGTAATTTCCCCATAAAAAAATTATAAATGACATAAAAGTCAAGAATATTTATCAGTAGTAATGAGTCCAATCAACTCTAGTCCCAAACAAGACGCTCCAACATTCTCCAATCACTAAAATGCTAAATATTTTCTCTCTCCAATTTTTCTAAATCTTTTCTCTTTTCGTTACTACCTTCAGTAGGTGTTTATGGTTGATTATTTTAGTTTTTTTTTTTTTTTGTCATTTTTAATAAACAGAAAAAGTAAAAAATATATATATAAAAAATTGGAAAAAAAAATCTAGAAAAGACAAAAAAAAAATTTAAAAAAAAACAAATTTTTTTTGATTCTATAGTGAACTTTTTTTGTTTTTGTTTTTGTTTTTGTTTTTTTTTTTCAGTTTTTAAGATTGACCTACACAAGATTGGACAAAGTAAAAAAATTGGCATAATTTTTAAAAAATATTACTAAAGGTAATTCAAAAAAATGTGATTTTTTTAGTTGTATGCTAAACAATCCCTCCGTAGCTATGGTGACTCATGAGGTTTTTATTGTTTTACGATGTGCTTGATTCATAGATTTTGATAGAGATTTGGAAAAAGAAATTAAAAAGTATGTAAAATATGTATGAAATATAATTAAATTTTACTTATATTTCACACATTATTTTTTTCTTTTTCTTTTTCTTTTTAAATCTCTTCCTAAATTTATTAACCAAACACAATTTTACTGGTCAAACTAATGTAAGGTAATGATAACACATAAAAATAATTTACCGTGTAAAAATATAATCATTGTATCATTATTACATCATACAGCGATAATGTTTAAATATTTTAAAATAAACTTTTAAAAATGTTTCTTAGAAGATAAATTAGTTTTCAATTAATTTTTTTTTTTAAAAAAACACATCCAAAAGAAAGATAAAAGGACATAAAAGTGAGGTCGAACTACAGTCTATAGTACATGAAAGAGATTTTCATGTACCATATAAAAAAGTGGTATTCTAATAAAAAGGTGTATCACCGGGAGTCACTGTTTTATTGGTGATGTGATGTGATTTAACTTTTTTTTTTTTTTTGGAATTAACAAGTAGGGGTGTAAAAATGGTTCACGGTCCATGGGCGGCTCAAAGCTCGCCTGCAGCTCAGGGTAGGCCTGGTTCGGTTAGGCCTGGGCCCGAGCCCAACCTAGGACCCTAGGCTTGAGCCCAATCCATCAGCCGCTCAAGGGCCATTCAAAACCTAGCCCGAGGCTTTGCCCGCCCAATGCCCAAGGTCATTTTTGGTGAAAAAGAATAAAATTTTAGTAAAAAAAATAGAAAAAAATTTAAAACAAATATTCAAACCCGAGCCCAAGCCTAGGCCTGTCATCTTGGCTCGAGGCCCGCCTGAGACCTAAATACCCCTAGGCCTGAGCCTAATTTTTTGGCCCATAAGCTGAGCTGCCCTAGCCTGAATTTTAGCAGGAGCCAGAATGAACCGACATGGACCGACCTGGGCTAAATTTACACCCTTACTAACAGGTGATATGGAGAAGTTATTTGGTGGTCATGGGGCATGGTTACGTGATGCCCTAGATGTGTTATTATTAGTGGAGGAGGTGGGGTCTATAATTTTGTATTAGGTGATTGAGAAATAACAGAGATATGGTGATTTGTGATTAATAAGGGGTATGGCCAGATGGCACCTCCGGATCAAGAAATAATTTTTCAATAGTATGACATTTATACAATGTTTCACATTAAATTATTTATATAAAAAAATTAGACTAATCTTTTTTAAAATTTGAAAAATATATTAAGTACTTTTTCAAGTGTTTGTATCCCAATTAGTTTATAAGATATTCTTGTATTTCAATAAGTCCTATTATTTAAACATTTGATCTATCAAATCATAATTCTCATAAGGTATTTTATGGATATTTCTACCCTAACAAATATTTTTTGAACGGTTAGCAATTTGGTGATGTGAACATTCATATTTTACAATGTGAATATTCACATTGACGATATGAATATTCACAGAGACATGTTAACATTCACATTGATGATGTGAACATTTACATTGACGGTGTGAATATTCACATCACGGAACATTCGCATTGTAAATGTGAATATTATTAGGGGTATTTTGGTAATTATGTCACCCAGAGGACTTATTGGAATATAAAAAAAAATCATGTAGACTAA